GAAAACTGCCTCAGTTCTACTCTCAGATTGTTTTCCATTTTCTCCATCAGCTCTTCTGATACCCTGGAATGAAGAGGAGAAGAAAAGACTTTGTTCATGTTGCTTTATTCATCATGTAACCTTCAGTTTGTTCACACATCCCATCAGTAAAGTCTGGTAAATGACTCAGATTCACTTCATCCACACAATCAGTGTGTTTGAGCAGAATCTCAGCTCTGTCAAAGAAAAGAATGAAGCATCTCCTTATTGATTCTGATCAGGAGAATTACACTTTATAATCCCTCATAGTCCCTCATTTGGACAACAACACACAACAACATTTGCTCTGCCAAACAAATAAATGTGAATATAATTCTAGATTTCTTTCCAAAGTGAGAACAAAGTCTCTCCGATAAGGAAGGTCTGCTGCTTCTCTCTTCAGACCCATGCAGTGGAAGAGAAACAACAACATACAAATACATCAATCCAATATTCAACAAACATTTAGAGCTCAGACAAGTTTCCATTTTCATGCAGAGAAACAAAAGTCATCCTGAGCAGTGATGGCCTCCATGGCTAAACAGACACAGGAAGGAGCTCCAACATTTCCACAGCAGCTGATGAGAAGACGTCAAAGTCCCGCCCACAGTGTTTGATTGACAGGTGAAGAAATGCCCCAACAATCAGCTCTCAGCAACAAACATGAAGACAAAAGAAGTTTAAGGATTAAAACACAGAGTTTAACCCACTGTCCCTGAAAGGACTTCTGACTATTTCACTTTACAGAACTCAGCAGAGTCTCCAGAGAATAAACCAAAGTCCAGCATAGAGAGGCTGAGTGAATGTGGTCTGGACTCTGTGGAGGAGAGTCATGGTTTCAGAGATGCTGTAGAAGGACAGAATACCTGCACTGTGATCCAGGTACACTCCTACTCTGGAGGACCGAGGACCTGAGACGGAGTTTGACTGGTTGTACCAAATTTATAACTGTTTGTGTCACAATATAACGCCCAAGATTTGTCATTGAATCCAAATTAACATTCATCTGCCCTCCCTGCTCTGCTGATATTCTTGTATGCGACTGCTATAAAACTCCTCCCCCTCTCCACTCCACCTCCCAGTAACAACGTCCAGTCAGACTCTCTCTACTCAGGACCTGAAAACATCCAGTGAATCTGTCTGGGTGACTAGAATAAGACTGTTGTTGACTCACTCTTGTTACTTTTCTGTTCCCCTCAGATAATAACAGCTCTGTGTTTGCTGTGTTTGGATCCAGTGTGATTTCACATGAATATTTTAAGAACCCAGCTCTGGTCTTGGGTTCTGGTCCTGACAGTAAAACCTCCACCTCAGTCACTGTCTCTAAGACGTTTGTCCATGTCTCTGTCAGAACGTCCTGTAGTTTGTCTCTGACTTCTGACACAGCCGCTGTCACGTCCTCAAAGTAGCGCAGAGGACGGATGTTGATGCTGGATGAGTCTGTAGATTCACTGAGTGCTGACAGTGAGGGGTAGTTGTGTAGAAACTGGTGTGATCCTCTGTGTGAGAGCTGCTTCAGCTCAGCGTCTTTCCTCTTCAGCTCAGTGATCTCCTGCTCCAGCTTCTCCTGAAGCTCTTTGACTCGACTCACTTCAGTGTCCTGCTGGGATCTGAGCTGCCGCTTCACATCAGACCTTCTTTTCTCCATCAGACGGATCAGCTCGGTGAAGATCTTCTCACTGTCCTCCACTGCTTTATCAGCAGAGCCATTGATAGCCTCCACCTCCTGCTGAAGCACCTTCACATCTTTCTCTCTGTCCTGGATTCTCTGCTGATGTTTTGTCGACTCACCTCGAGCTCTCTCTGCCTCTCGGTCCTTTCTGCTGCAGCTGAGACTGTGTCGTGGCCTTTATGTTCATCCACAGCAGAGATAACAGATACTCTGCCGATCAGTACGGCAGAACATCTTCATCACCTCATCGTGACGAGAGCAGATGTTCTCCTGGAGCTTCTTGGAGGGCTCCACCAGCTTGTGTTTCTTTAACGGAGCAGCATCATAATGAGGCTGCAGGTGTTTCTCACAGTAAGAGCCAGACAGACCAGACAGGACTTGAGGGCTTTCAGTTTTCTCCCAGTGCAGACATCACAGGCCACATCTTCAGGTCCAGCATAGCAGTGATCAGCAGGAGCAGCTTGGAGTCCAGTCTTCTTCAGTTCCTCCACTAAAACTGCTAACATGGTGTTTTTCAGCAGGACAGGCCTCGGTGTGAAGGTCTGCCTGCACTGAGGGCTGGGATTTTCTTCTCCTCCTCTTCATCCCAGAAGCTTTTAATACAGTTCATGCAGTAGCTGTGTCCACAGGGAATAGCCACCGGATCCTTCAGTAGATCCAGACAGATGGAACAAGAGATGGTTTCCCGGTCCAGCTGAACTCCTTTCTGCGCCATTTCACCTCTCAGTGGCAACGACTGTCTGAGTTTCACTTTCTCAGAAGTGCAGCTAGTTTGAGCTCTGATCTGAACAGCATGTGTTTCTGCAGTGAACGGGGCCTGTCAGCTGCTGCACGTCAGCACATGTTGGTCACACCCATCTTCAAACTGTAGATCTGAAGGGGAGGGAACCAGGAAATATATGGACAGAGTGGAGCTCGCTGTGATTGGAGAGCAGGAAGCAGAGGGAGGGGTCATCAAGCTGCCGCTCATTCCAGGAAGAGGAGCGGCTCTGTGGATTCTTTGTTTCCTCATTTCCAGCGAAGCCTCAGCCAGTGTCCTTTGACTGGTTCAGACCAGGTGACAATAATCAGAGTAAAGTGTGATAAAATCCTTAAAGTGCTGTATAATCATGTTCTCACTTCCTTAATAAAGGAGGGCAAACTACATTTATCTGATGCTTTTATCCAAAGCGACTTACAATTGCTATACATGTCAGAGGTCGCAAGGGTTTAAGTGTCTTGCTCAGGGACACAATGGTGGATGGGTCACAGTGGGGGATTGAACCTGGGTCTCTCACACCAAAGACATATTCTTATCTGTTGCACCATCACCACCCACTAAAGTCAGTTAGAATCAGAAGCCAAACAACCACTAATAAAGGCGATCAGTTCAGCTTTTTGATTTGAAAGCATGCAGTCCTAGAATGTGTGGAAAAGGAGTCAGAGATGAGGACTCAATCACAGGTGCATCACAAGCTGCCATCTTCTCCCCTTTGTTTTGTCTTTGTAAAGCAGTGACTCCCACTTGAACTTCCTACAGCGTGCTGACGAGTGGCCCCGTTGGCCTTCTGTGAGGGGGACTCTGTAAAAGATGGCCCATATTTTAATCATGTAGTTTCTCTGCAGCAGTGCTGTGAGGAGAGTGTGTTTAATAATGGAGGTGAAAGCAAAGAACTGATCTTATCCAGCAACACACAACTCTCCTGATAAAGTTCAACCTTTGACCATCACTGGATCCCCTGGAGAAACTGTCAGCAGGTTAAAGATCTTGGAGCTGTGACTGATGGCCGCCTGAACTTCACACAGAGAGCTGACTGGATTTTTAAGGAAGCAAACAGAGATTGTATCTTTTAGCACTTTTAGTGCTTTGACACCATTTACCATGATGTGGGACACAATGCACTTTTACTATCAGCCTAAACACGTGTTGTGAGCTGAGGAGCTTTAACCTCCACTACATCCCTGGTTAGCAGGATGAAGGCGCCCTCTTGTGTTGTGCATCAGTTTCCACATTTCACTTGTTCACCTGCTGTGATGTTCACTGCAGGAAGACATGGAAACACTTCACTGAGCCTTTGGCAGCTTCAAACAGCATCAGTACCGTAGACGTTGTTAGGCCTATTTTAGGGTGGCTGAAGCTTCCCTAACATGGTACTCACAAAGAGAAGCAAGAATATTGATACATATTATAAAATAATACAAATATAATTAGTATTTATTTATAATGTAATCTCATTTCTTTCTGTTTTCTTTTTTTAAATCTGTCCTGCCCAGCAGCCTGGTATAGACTATGATGAGCTGGTTACCATATTGTGCCAGACAGACTTTACTTTAACAAGAGAGTATTAATATACTCATTCGTCTGTTTTTATATTTATTTAATTATGCACTGATTTGTCACCGGGCCGGACAGGGGGGCAGACATGGAGATGGGGGTGCAGAAACAGACAGCACAGAGAAAGGACAACACCTGCAAGAGAAGGGGGATGGAAGGTGGGGACAACAGGGAAAAGCTGTGGGAAACACCAATTGCAGAAAGCAACGAAACCTGCAATAGAACAGAGAGGGGGGCTTGGGGAGGAGAAAAACAACAACAAACAAATTCCCCCTGTGACCCATCCACCATTGTGTCCCTGAGCAAGACACTTAACCCATCGTTGCTCCAGAGGTGTGCGACCTCTGACATGTGTAGCAATTGTAAGTCGCTTTGGATAAAAGCGTCAGCTAAATGAATAAATGTAATAACAAATAATTTAAATAAGTAACTGAAAGAAAAGCATCAGGAATAATTCTACCAGGGACGACCTAAATTCTATATGTGAGACTGTGTGTCTGTGTGTGAATGTGTCTGTATGTGTGTGTGTACATGTGTGTGCGCATAAGCCTGTTAAAGAATGTAGTTGTTAGTGAGAGTGGGACTAACAATAGGGGTGGGAGAAGAAAAAAACCCAACCAACAGACGCCCCAAAAAATAAATAAATAAAAAAATAAAAACGACCATCCAAATGCCAGTTGACAACGCAATGCTGACGGAACGCAAGAAGCATAACCCGCGGAAGAGCAGCGCCCAACATAGAGCAGTGCCCCCCCCCCCCCCCCCCAACCCAGCACCCTACCGGCGCTCAGCGAACAACCAAAATGGCCAAATGCCACGCAATCATCAACACCAATGCACAAGTGACGAGCCCAACGTGTGCACTGCGCGAGCACGGCGACACCCAATGCCCGGCAGCCACCTGCGAATCCCGTGTGCGAGGTCGGACAAAACGGCAGAAACGCGCCGTACAGGTCACTGTGCACCCGCCATTAAAAGTCCGCCGTCCCCCCAACCGCCAGAAAAACTAAGGCCGCCCGAGCCAGCCGACATCCCCCATGCACAGCACGCCCCCAGGCCACCGTGCAACACCAGCCAATCCAGCAACGAGGCAAAATCAACCAGTTCAGCTGCAGGCCACCACCAACCCACCCACCCATCAAGGGCCGAGAACTCCAGGCGCAAGCCCAGAATAAACCGGAGCGCAGCCCTGCGCCGCACCCACATTGCAACATCCCCAGACCCCCACACACCCCCAAGGCAGGACAGCGCAGCCCCAACCCAAAGTCCAACAATCCCCTGCCGTCGCCAGGGCCCCTCCGGCAGCCCCACTGCCACCCCCCCACCTCAACGTTCCCACACAATCATGAGCACTCCGAGCACGACCAGGTTATCGGAGCTGGCACAACCCCCCCCCCCCCCCCCACAAGGGAGCAGGTCCGGAGCGGCAAGGACCCCGCCCAAGGACAGAACGGCCCAAGACCAAAGGGCCCAGACCCGAAGGTCCGCCCACACCCAGGAGGCAGTGCCACTCAGGCCAGGCCAAGCCAGAAGACCCCCACCCCCGCGCCCTTCCCTCCCTAGCAGCGAAGCATCCCACACACACACCCCCACCGTCCCCAAAGAAAAGAGACAGCAATCACCCCGTGACAGCAGCAACAGCCCCTCAGCCCTAGGAAGTCAGCAGATGCACACAGCCCCTAGGACCCACCTAGGGGCAGGAATCTCCCGGCACCCCACGACTCAATCCGACCACGATCCAGAGGGCCGCGATGCGACCACAAAACAACCATCGACACACCCCAAAGCACAATCCCTCCCCACACAGAATCCCCGTACAACCACAGCAACAGTACAACAGTAGCAGTGAATAATAGTGTTTTAGTAAATATTATTTCACACATCAAATCATCAAAAATCAAATCAAACTTTGTGTGAACTATAGCTATAGACTCTCATTCAGTTTGCACCTCGGACATGAGGTCACAGTTTAATCTTTTAACCATGGTGTGTATAAAGATGTTACAGGAACTGGTTCAATGCTTCTCTTAACCTGAGCACTACTTTTTGCTCTTTACTGTACAGCGTTCTTGGATTCCAACTTCCGGGCCTGCTCTCAGCCAACTCCGGGTGAACTTTATATCCATTTCCAAATCACTTGGAGTCGCTTTGCCATGTGTTGATACCACCCTCGGTACAGCAGTTCAGCTAGCTGGCTATAGTCATTCATTTGCAACCAGGATTCAGTTAAAAACATAAAATCTAGATTTGCAGACAAGATAAAATCATTTAAGATAAAAGTCTTACTTGAAAGTGATCTCACATTGAAGAGAGACATTTTAAATGAGTTTGTTCTGGGTGCTGGAGTTGGTGCAGTTGTCCTAATCCTTAAGAGATTACTAATATTTCTGTGTGGGATGTGCACATTTTGGTTTACTGGCCTATGCGTGATGATGACAGGAAGAAGTCTGTGAACAGCGCTGGGAGCAGACGGCTTTACATGCCAGCAGGTGGAGACAGTTGATCTGTTCAGTGAGCGGTGGTGTGTCCAGGTGTGCTGCATGAATGATTAGTCATTCACGTAAGTCATGTGTGGACCGCACCACATGCTGTATGTGAGCAGCTAACATTTCTGAGCCCCGTTTGTTTGGGTGAAGTCCGTCTGTCTTGAAAAGAGGCATTCTTTGCCAGAAAATATTAAAATTATCCACATAACACACACGATGAGCCCTGCAGGCGGACTGGAGCCAGTCGTGGAGGCCAAGGAGTCTACTGAAGCGGCCAGTACTGTGACCAACTGTGGGAATGGGACCAGAGATAAAAACGGACTTTCCACACTGCTTTAAAAAGTTAAAAAGACGGTTAAAATCTGACTTTGTCAGCTCAGACTGCCGAAGAGCTGTGTCATTTGTTCCCACATGGACTATCACTCTTGTGATGGAGGACAGGAGCGACGGCATCAGGTCCTGGAGTTTTTTTTAAATGTCAGCCGTGGTGGCACCGGGGAAGCAGTGAGTGGTAGCGTTAAAGAAACGGAGGTTTCTGGTTATGGAGTCACCAATTATTA